TTTCTTTCTTTCTTTCTTTCTTTCTTTTTTTTTTTTGTCTTTTTGAGAGGTTTCCCTATAGCCCCAGGTGGCCTGGTACTTGCTATGTAGACCAGGCTGGCCTTGAACTTGCTGGAATCAAAGGCTTCCCACTACCATGTCCAGCTTCAAGGACTGATTTTCATTTGTGCCATGTGACTGTCACGAGCACTTAAAATGGAGATTTTTTTTTTCCAGAGAAAATGAATGTCAGACATTTGGTGACTCCCTTTTGTTCTTTAGGAAATAATTTTTTTGTTCTCACTCCCAGTCATGTTTCTTGTGACTAAAGAGTTTGGTGAGCTGCAGTATCATGATATTAAACTCTTGGAGAAATCCCGGGTACTTCTGGGAACACTAAGAAGCTATATTCAGAAATATGATCAAAGGTCAGGGCAGCATATTCGGAACAGAAAACCTGTTGGGGAAGGACTGTTTACTTACAGAATGAGTGAGCTCTTTCCTGCCCAGGCCTTATGCTCTTGGTCTGTGTGTTTAAACCCCACACGTTCACTCTTGCTGGCTGCACTAATGACTTTCCTACCACACAATCCAAAGCAGCTGTGAATAGCCTGACTCAGGGGATGAGACTCGATGACTCAGTATCTAGAGCCCCTGCTTTAGGAGCAGGTGAGCAGCCCAAGGTCAGGCAGCAGGAGTGGGCGTTTGAACATCTTCCTGGTGACTCATAGCCTGCCTTTTTGAGGGAAGGCATCTGTGCTGGCCCCAAAGCCACACTCACCTCCCTACTCCTGTCTCATTGTACTGTGTGGATTGGGTTCAGATCCTTAAGGACACAGCTACCGGGTTCGCAGTGCAGGGGTTTTCTATGCATATATTTATTTTATAAAAGGGAGACACCTTTTTTTAAATTTTAGTTTTTCTTGAATTTTTTCAATTTTTACACAATATAGTTTGACAGTGTTTAGATTCCCCTCCCCTAACTGCACCTCCCTCCCATGGACCCAACCCAATTTAGTGTACTCTCTTATATATAGCAAATACACTATATATAGCACTTCAAAAGGCACCAAAAAGAGACAACACCTTTTATGTAGCACTTTTCTTATTTGACAATGTCACATGACATGTACAATATCAGCCTGTTGTCAATACCATGGCTATATTACAGTGGTGACGACTGTGCCTCATTTCCCTTTATCTTTCTCAGCATCCAGGACAGGATGCTCCTGCCATCACAGAATATTAGAGAGGGAGAGTGCAATGCTTCTGAGGACATCATCTGCTTAATCTGCTTTGCAGATGACTTAGGGACACTCACTAAGTGCAACTTTTGAACATAAAGCTTTTGTTTTAAATATCTTTTGCTTGCCTGGTCGTATGCCTGAGGTTCACAGCTTACATAAGCCCACTGATCCCTAGAGAGCTATATACTTGCAAGCTATAGGACATTTTCTTTAGGAAGGTGACCATTTAGACTAAGTCTGTTGCTTGCCCACAGTAAGTAGAAAACTTTGCAAAGTGTAGAAAATTATCTGGGGAACTGACAGTAGAGGTCAAGTTTACAGGCATATGGATCTGGCCTCAGAAGTTGGAGGGCTAAGATTTAGTGTTTTTCTCATAAAGGCTTTGTGCATATCCATCAGAGAGAAAATATAGTTGTTTTTTTTTTTTGATCTTTTTGAGACAGGGTCTCCCTGTAGCCCCAGCTGTCCTGGAACTCACTATGTAGACCAGGCTGGCCTGAAAAAATATAGTTTTAAAAAATATTTATTATTTGTATGAGTGTTTTGCTTGTATGTATGTAAGTGCACCTGTATTGTGCAATGTCCAAGGAGGTCAGAAGAGGGCATTGGATCTCCTGAAATGGAGTTATGAATGGTTGTTAGCTGCCATGTGGGTGCTGGGAACTGAACCAAGGTCCACTGCAGGAGCAGCTGGTGCTCTTACACTGGGCTCTCTCTCCAGCTCCTACAAATGTATTTTTTTTTTTTTTTGAAGCAGGGTCTCCCTGTGGCCCCAGCTGTCCTGGAACTCACTATGTAGTCCAGGCTGGTCTTGAACTCACAGAGATCTGCCTGCCTCTGCCTCCCAAGTTCTGGGACTACAGGTGTGTGCCACCACAAATGTATTTTTAAGTCAGCATTTTTTCATGAAACATTGTTCAAGAATGTGTTATGTCATTTAAAGAAAAGGACTTTGATAATTTAATAGCGAAAATTAACTAGTTGAACATTTTATTTCCTTAATGTTTTGGTGGGGATTACTTTTAAAATATTTACTATCTTTCATGTTTAATTATAGTGGCTTTCTACCTTGTATTTCCTGGTTTCAGATGTCCTGAATGATGCCATATTTGATGAAGATCATGATGAGATGGTGATTGTGAAGGACATAGATATGTTTTCTATGTGTGAACATCACCTTGTTCCATTTGTCGGAAGGGTAAGGTTTTCCTTGTTTCCTAATAATTAAAAAAAGTATATTGAAAGCTGGGCATGGTGGCGCACGCCTTTAATCCCAGCACTCGGGAGGCAGAGGCAGGTGGGTCTTGAAAGTAGGATAATTACATTTAAAACTGTCAGCTAATTCCTAAAATTCTCAACATTTACAGTTACACATAAGTTTTTACTATTTATCAATATATCTAATCTAATAATTGAAAATTTGAAAATGAAACCAAGCTGTGTGTGGTGGCATATGCTGATAACTCCAGCACCCAGGAGGTAGAGGCAGGAGGATGGGGAGTTTGAAGCCAGCCGGTGCTACATAGGGAGACTCTGTCTCAACAACAATAACAGCGACAAAACACAAAGCAGATGGTTCAGGGACCAGCCTTTCATCTTAAATACCATGTTAATAGGTTAGAATACTGAGGTCAAAGTAGCATTTTCTTAAAGGTAGTTGCTGCAGGCTCTCAAAACCTTTGTCCTTTATTTTGAGTGAATTTGTTTTATCCAAAATCTATGTGTGCAGAGAATCACACGACATGAGCAGGGACGACTGCAGTTTCTGGAGCCAGAAGTTATGGTATTAGAGGATTTAATTTGATTCCATCCCTTTTTATATTAGGAAAAAAGAATCAGCTGCAAGATAGATAAGAAGTCATCTAGTATCTTGTCATTAAACACACCTTTGAGAACATGTAAGCAAACGAGAAAGAGATGTCCTATTTCCCCTACTCCATAATAGTTTAATTCTATTTTGACTTCTTGTTATTTATTTTCAAACAGAACACTTGTAGGAGATAATATGAATAGCCATTACCTAAAATTAATAAGTATTAATATTGCTTCATTTTTGTTATTTCATTTTGGTTTCTTATGGAGGTAAAACAGAAACAGCACAGCACACAAAGTTGTGTTTGTGTTCATTGCTATGTATTATTACATTGTACAAACACACCACAGTTTACGTTCTGCTCTTGGTGGGCATTTATATTATTCTCTTCTTTTGTTACCATTACAAACAATGCTGCTGTCAGCTTTCTTTTGGTGTACATATGCATGCATGTCTTTTTCTTTTCTTTTTTTTCCTTTGTCTTTTTGAGACAGGGTCTCCCTGTAGCCCCAGCTGGCCTGGAACTCACTACGTAGACCAGGCTGGCCTTGAACTCCCAGAGATCTGCCTGCCTCTTTTAGGGATGCATGCATTTCTTTAGGGATGTATCTAGGAGGGATTGTGGGATCCTAAGGTATACCTGTGTTCACCTTACTCAGTGCTCACCTTTGGCTCTGCAAAGTGGTTATACCAGTTTGCCCTCCCAGAAGTATACAGGAGAGCTCATTGTTGAACATTCCTCTAGCACTTGACACTTCCCTCTGAAGTTAGCATTCAGTTCTCTATGTAGTAGTGTTCTCTTATCTCTCGCCCCCTCCTTCTCTCTTCCTACTTCCCTCTTTCCCTCCTTCCCTCCCCTGCCCCTATCTCTTTCAACACTTTTATCATGGAAAATTTCAAACATATATAATAACAGAAAGACTAGTACTATGCAGTTTCATGTTCCTGTTAACTAGGTTTAGCAGTCATCAGGACAGGACCAATCATATAATACATAGACTAGACCCTTATGGTTCAATATAAAGGCAAATCCCAGACATAGTTTTTTCCATAGTATCTTCTAGTATGTCTCTTTAAAAGATGAGGATTAGATGACTTTATATCCATACACAAGTGCCAAGGATCCAGGTGCAACCAACCATGACTAGTAATAATCAGATACATACAGATTAGAGACACATGTGCTAACATCTAAGTGTTATTAGCAAAAACAATGGGTCTTTCTGTAAGAAACAGTATATTTTAAAATGAAATGGAGATATTTTTTAAAGGTTAAAAACTCATTCAATTTTATGTCTTACAGGGTTTATACTGAGTTCAATATTGTATAACTGTATTAATTCAACTGTGAACCTAAAAATTTTGTAGCCACTTTTGAAAGAGATCTATCTTTGCTCTGGAAATTGTTATTAAAAAGAAAAAAAACCCAATTTGGTAAATTAACAATAGGTCTTTCAGACTTATTAAAGAATATAGAATGTGTTGTACGTAGCACTAATTATTTGTTGGCATTTCTGAAATATTTACTGACTCACACTAGCAATTAATATGCATCTCTAAAATGTTTCTTATTCACAAACAACCACAGAATTAATATAGATTACCTTAAGTAGCATGTAATAGCCCATATTTTTTCCAGTTTCAGAAAATTTTACTGCCAATCTGTTTAAGGAATCTAGTTAATAGTCACATTAGGCTGGGAACGTAGAGACTCAGGAGTAGAATGCTTACCTAGCATACATGACGGCCTCAGTTCAACCTTTTCAGTATTGAAAAGAAAAAAGGAGTCACATTTGTATTTACATTGCATTCGATTGTGTGTCTTAAGTGCCTTTTCTTTTGAAATAGCCCTCCTAGTGAAGAGTAGTTATTCTGCAGAGCGGTCTAACCTTCCGGATTTGTTCCATGCACCCCCTGGACTGCCTATAAACTGGATTAGATTTATGCTTCTAGGCTAAGCATTTCTGACAGAAGTAGTTCACAGGGTGCTGGGGACTTCACTTTCTATCACATCAGGAAGCATGCAGTGTCTGGCCATCCAAATTAATCATGAGGGAACCTTTCTGCTCATCTCTGCCTTTTGTTGTAGGTGAGAAGACAGGCTTGTCCAGAAAAATGTAGAAAATTAGTGGACTTGCTGGACGGCACCCAAGGCCCTGTTCTTAGTCTTTCTCTGTTGCATTCTGATGTCTGCAGTGATGATGATTTCTGTGTTTAAGTGTTTAAGTTCTTTTTTTTTTTTTTTTTTTTGTCTTTTTGAGAAAGGGTCTCCCAGTAGCCCCAGCTGGCCTAGAACTCACTATGTAGACCAGTCTGGCCTCGAACTCACAGAGATCCACCTGCCTCTGCCTCCAGAGTGCTGGGATTAAAGGTTGTCGCCACCATGCCTGGCCTGTGTTTGTGTTCTTGCTAGCTTTGTCTTTTAGATATATCATTTAGTGTGATACTCTTCAAAAGTGGGCATTCAAATGACGTAGGATGTTAAGGAACATAGTCCAAGCTATAAACACTTTCTTGCTCACCATACAAGTATACAGATTTCATGTGGTATAGAAAACCTTGGTTCTATGGTAAACTTTTTTTTTTTTTTTTTTTCGGTCTTTTTGAGACAGAGTTTCCCTGTAGCCCCAGCTGTCCTGGAACTCACTATGTAGACCAGGCTGGCCTTGAATTCTGCCTCCTGAGTGCTGGGATTAAAGGCGTGGGCAACCACGCCCAGCTTTCTATGGGAAACTTATAATTCTCTAATTTTTCTTTGAAATGCCTAGCACTCAGGTGCTCCTTTATTTCAAGAGGATAGTTCTCAAACTCTTTTTTTTTTTTTTAAAGAAAACACTATTACATCTAGGGCTTTTATTTCTTCTTGTATATTAAGCCATGAATTCATAGGGAATGGGCTCCAGCAGCTCAGGCTCTTTTCCGTTAGTTCTCACAAAGTGTGCTTCTCTGGGTGGGGCGGGCTGGCGCTACAACTGAACCCAGGTTCCTTTCTCCTTGGCTTCCTTTTTTTTTCTGGTCATTTTCATTCATGCACGTTAATTCTCTTGGCAAGAACCTTGCCCTTAACTTGCTTGTTTGCAAAAATGCCAACAGCATGCTGAGTGACGTAGACTCTCCCAGTTTTGCCATGGTAATATCCATGGGGCATTCCTTTTTGAATAGTACCCATTCCTTTAATGCCTACAATATCACCCTTCTTGTAGATTTACATATATGTGACCAAAGGAACAACTCCATGTTTTCTAAAAGGCCTAGAGAACATATAGCAAATACCTCTTCTCTTTCCCTCTATGTTTATCATTTTGGCGAATCACTAGAAGATGACTGCTCTGGCAGAAAAACTCTCAAACTCTTAAAGCATAATGCTCACTAAGTACTACTACATGGTTTCTATAAATGCATGCTCAATATTAAATGAACAAATGAAAACTGTTTAATGTTGGCATTCATCATGCAGCTGTACCTGTAAGTTTATGTTTGGTTAATTGCCAAAATGACCTCTAATAGTAAGTAGCCTTTTAAAAGAGCTAATGTTTTCTTATACCTTAGTTGTTGGCTCAGCAAGCGGTAACATTCAACCATCGCTGTGCACTGGTCCTCTTTAAGATAACAGTAATAGATGTGTGTTGTTGCAGGTCCTGGCAAGAATCCAGTTCATAGACCCATGTTCTTGCAGAGCCACAATGGTGGCTGTGTCCTTTTTTCCCTGTCAGATGTTGGAGCTCTCCAGCAGCTTAGAAGGGGCAATCAAGCATGAAAGGGCATAGGGGTGTCTGTATAGCAGGGCTCAGGAGTGGGATTCTTAAGGCCACTGTGATGCATGGAATGGCAACATTTATATATCCAGTTTCTGCATTGAAAGGAGTCTCTCCTGAAAAAGGGTCATTTTCCTTTTACTGAATATTTATTTTTTCCCTTGATAGAGGAAAGACGTCCAGATTTGTATCAAGAATTTAACCTTACCCAGGAACATCATAACTGTACTTTAAAATTGGCATCTGTGTAACAAAACAGTTCTTTTTTAAAAAAATATTTTATTTATTATTTTTATTTTATGTGTATGAGTGTATTGCCTGCATGTATGTGAGTGCACCCGTATTGTGCAGTGCCACAGAGGTCAGAAGAGGACTTGGATCCCTGGAATTGTAGTTATTGATGGCTTTTAGCCACCATGTGGGTGTGGGGAACTGAACTTGGGTCCTTTGAAAGAGCAGCCGGTGATCTTTACCAAACTGTTTCTTCAGTCCCCAAGAGGTACTCACTAGCCCCTCAAACAGTTCTTGTATAGCTGTCTTTTACTGTCTTTTTTTTTCTTTTCTTTTCTTTTTGAGACAGGGTCTCCCTGTAGCCCCAGCTGTCCTGGAACTCACTATGTGGACCAGGCTGGCCTTTAACTCACAGAGATCCGCCTGCCTCTGCCTCTGCCTCTGCCGGGATTAAAGGCGTGCGCCACCACGCCCAGCTAGTTTTATATGATTTTTAAATGTGTGTGATTGCTTGATTTAAAAAATTTTTTTAATTGAATTTTTGTGTATTTCCTACAGAACATCTCAATCTTAATCATCTTTATACCCCTTTCCCCATGGCCCCCCACTGGAATTCATACATTCTGTCATTTGTGTTAAGGCCTATTGTGTCAAGTTTACAGCAATGGTCTCAGCATGCACAAGACCCATGCAAACTCAAGTAGACAAAAACCCAGTATAGAACTGGGGAAATGGACAGCAAACCCCAATCTTCACTGAAAAAAATATTGGGAACTGATTTGCTGGGTGAGGAAGAGCTGATCTTCCAAAAACGAGAGACTCTAGATAGGGTGAATAGACCTCAGTAGATGAATTTGCATTGAGGAATGTCTGGGGACGCTAAATTACTAGATTTTTTTTTTTTTTGTCTTTGAGACAGGGTCTCCCTGTAGCCCCAGCTGTCCTGGAACTCACTATGTAGACCAGGCTGGCCTTGAACTCACAGAGATCCGCCTGCCTCTGTCTCCGGAGTGCTGGGATTAAAGGCGTGTCCTACCACACCCGGAAAATTGCTAGATTTTTAAGTCTTAAAGCTTTCATGGGTTTTAAAGACACATCATCCCTGTGATGAATTTACATGTATGTACAGTATAGTATTCCTATACTTCCTTATGTTGTTATCAAGACGTGTTGTCTGTGTCTTCATTTAGATGATAATTTCTGTCTCTTCTCTGAAGGTCCACATTGGTTATCTTCCTAACAAGCAAGTCCTTGGCCTCAGCAAACTTGCCAGGTAAGTATGACTGGATGGTGAACAGGAAAATAGGTTTATAGAATTGTTCCTATCTGCTAATAACTTTTCTCATCAAGATTTCTTCCTCTACCTATACTGATCTAACTTAGAAGTCATATTGCAGCTTAAAAATCCATAATTTCAAAGGCAATCCTACTTAGGGAGCTGAAACACTCATGCCTCTGTCTTCTCCCCCACAGCTTATCCCCTTCTCTCCCAACCTATCATTGAAGTGTCAGCTTACAACTTTCTTTGTAGTTCTCCCTAACTGGGTAAGATTCAAGGTTGCCTTCAATCCACCCCTCAGTGGAGGATTAGTTAACAGTAAGGGTGAAAGAGGAAACATGGGTTGGGGTTTAACTGTATATCACTGTCTTTAGACTTTGGCAAGGAAGGATATAGAAGAACACTTATATTTATGGAGAACAGTTGTCCAGTGCCTTGTAGGAAGTATTTCAGTGTTCATATAATAAGTCATGTATGTGAAAACAGGACCAGGAAACTGGAGTTGGCTTCATACAGTAAGAGCAAGTCTTATGAAGATATATGTCAAATATCCCTCCAAAGCAAATACTGCTTCTTAGTGAATGCACACTAATTGAAGACCTTTGCCCATCTCACTATTCAAAGCTTCTTGCCATGGTGTGTTTTTTTGTATCTATGAATGGATTGGAGACAACTAAAGGCTTTCCCATACACCACTTTAATGAGTTCCTTCCACTGTGTATTCTCTTTTAAAAACTTTTTCTTTACTATTTTTGTTTTGTGTATGTGTGAATTGCCTGCATGTATGTAAGTGCACCCATGTCATTCAGTGCCCGAGGAGGACAGAAGAAGTGGTCAGATCCCCTGGAACTGGAGTGACGGACAGTTGTTAGCTGCCACATGGATGCTGGGATTTGAACCTGGGTGTTCTGTAAGAAGAACCCATGTTCTTAACCGCTGAGCCATCTCTTCAGCCCCTCCACTGTATATTCTTATGGGTACTAGAAAAGGGCTTGTGATAATGCAGCCTTCTCGTGCTTTATTGGGGATTTTGGCCAATATGAATCCTTTGATGTTTTCAAACAGAACTGGATTGATTGGTGCTTTCCAACATTACTGACACAGATAGGTTTCTCTATAGTGTTAATACTTTCATGTTTACAAAGGGAAAAACAACAACAAAAGTGAAGTGTTTCCCACATTGAGTATACATGTAGGGTTTTTCTCCACACTGAATTCATTCTTGTATTCTAAAGCTGCCCACAAAACACATTCATAGGCTATCTATCCACTGTGAATCCTTTCATGTGAAAGAAAGAACTGGGACAAGTAAAGGATTTTCCTATTGCTTACGCACAGGGTTTCTCTCCAGTGTGAGTTCTGCTGTGTCTAGAAAGGAACTGTAACCACTGAAGGTTTTCCCACATTGCTTATTTACATAGTATTTCTCTCTGGTGTGAATCTTTGCATGTTTCAGAAAGCACTGAGGATAACTGAAGTCTTCCCATCTTCCCTCCTTACATTCATATGGCTTCTCTCTGTGTTTCTGATACTAATGGTTTGTGTCCAGTCTGAAGTCCAATGGGCACACTTAGGGATGAATGACCAATTAGGACTTCTGTATCTACACAGATTCTTCATGGTTTTAGGCCAGAAGGAGTTTTCTTATTCACTGTGGGGCCTGGAGACCAGATGAAGGTTTGAGTGTCTTCTTTATGTTCAGAGTCTCTCATCCACTTCACTTTCAGCTTTTTTCTGGAATTTTTGTAGTGCTTTCAATGTTCTGATCTTTCCGTTCTTTTCTATTTCCCAGATTTTAGAAGGTTCTTGTATCTTACCTAGGACTCCTGGAGGTCACAGAGTGATGGAGGCTAAGCCACCTGGGGATACTGTCAGTATGTGAGCTATCTGAGTAGCTGTTTTTAGACTTTGGATTGAACCTACATGTGGGGATTTGGCCTCCACCTACCTTTCTTTGCACCTGTGCCTCAGGTGTCTCTGAGAGTCTTGCAGGCCAGTCCATTCACTTCTAGGCCCTTTGCCTCTGCAAACACAAGGGTATGCCTCCCTTAGCTTTGCTTACTCTTGTCTCTCTGGGTCTCTTTGAGACAAGGTCACCCTGTAGCACCAACTGGCCTGGAACTTACTATGTAGACCAGGCTGGTCTTGAATTCACAGATCTGCCTGCCTCTGCCTCCCGAGTGCTAGGATTAAAGGCGTGCACCACCACATCTGGCTGGGTTAATGAATTTTTAAAAATTCTTTAGGTACTACTTTTGGTTTGGGTTTTAGGAAGGAGAGGTGATATGCATGCATGGCAACTTCTGTTTAGCTGGAAATCAATGTGAGGGTTTATGTTCATATAGCCCTGATAGACCACCAGTATTTTGTTGCCTCTAACTGTCCTTTTGTGTTATAATTTGTTAGTATGGAGTAGTAAATCCTGGGTGATGGGGGAAGTACTGGGAGGGTGTTCGTGTGTGTGTGTGTGTGTGTGTGTGTGTGTGTGTAACAAAATGAAAGGGTAGGCAGTGAACATGTAGTCATTGCATTTAAAGCTAATCTGGAATCACTTGATTGAGGTTACAGTGACCTTGTCATAATTGGAGCAAATCTCAGTGATTGGCTATTCTGTAGCTCTGATGGGTTCCTGCTTAGACAGTGGGACTTGCGTAGTCTGGCAATGGTGACCCTCATCTTTTTCAATTATTTGTTGGAATCTGTATAAACCACCTCAGTAATTTGACAGCTGCCCTCCACAGCTGTTCTTTTTACTTTATCTCCATTTCCATTTTTTCTAATTAATTTCCTCTAAAAATTTGGGATAATATGGGTTAAAAAGAGAAACAACTTCCCAGTTTTCTGACCTCATTTTTGTTCAGCAATCATGCCACATACTAGGGCTACTTGGCACCTTGAACAAATGATAGTATATCCTGTCTATAGCTGTTGTTGGGACAAGGCCCTTAACACAAATTCAGAAGTGCCTCGGCTCCTGGTGGTGATTGTCTCTAACTGCAGTGCGAAGGGGCTCCTGAAGAAGAATATTGGCTTCAATGGAGGGAGCCAATCTTACTGTAATTTTTATTAGGATTTTGTCCCCAGTCACTTATTCCTAAATAATAATAAAAGCTAATGATTTCATGTCAACTGTGAATAATAGAATCTCTAGGAAAATCAGTGATTTTTTAGTTTTATAGTTTGCAGTCTTATAAAATCAGCATGCTTACTGTGGAAATTCAGTCGTCGTCTGCCCCCCCCCCCTTCCAGCAAGACTGCTGACCCTACACCTTTCTCGTGGAAATTCTGGCGTTTTTGAGACTGTAACCGACTGTTCATATGGGAAATATGGAGTTGGGGGATAGCGTCCATAGTAAAATGAAGTTTCACAGAGCACTGTAAGCTTAGCCTTGCTCTTTTGATTTCCCTCTCCTCTGTGCTAAGGATAAAACCCAGGGCTTTACTCACTCTAGGCAAGTGAGTGCTTCTACCATTGAGCCACAGCCACAGACCCCTGGACCTTGAAGACCATCCTTTGTGTCAGCACTATGAGAAGTGGATTCTAGAGTGACCCAGTGAGATCAGAGTATGAGTGATAACTCCAAGGCACAAGGGGACAACTTGTTATGTCCTTTCTTAGTGAAAAGAAAAGATCTCGGATAATTAATCTCCCACGAAGCAGTACAAAAGAACCCATTGTTAGCATGGGGATTTACCCTTAACTAATAGGATTAAAATTTAAGAATAAAACAGAACATCAAACCAAGGAATCATGTGTATGTTACTTTCATATATTTTGTAAAACCTTTGAGCAAAGGGTCTGTTAAACAGAAAAGTCAACTAAAATTTCATCCAATGCCTATTTTTAAATATTTTTTTCTTGATTTTACTTATTTTTTTTATGTGTATAAATGTTTTTGCCTGCATGTAAGTGTACCATGTGTATGCAGTGCCCATGGAGGCCAGAATGGAGTGTCAGATCTCTTGGAACTGGAATTACAGATGGTTGTTAGTTGCCATGTGGGTGCTGGGAACTGAACCCAGGTCCTCTGCAAGAGCAGCCAGTGCTCTTAACCACGGAGGCATCTCTCCAGTCCTCTCCCAACTGCCTATTTCTTGTAAGAAGTAAGACTCTTTAGAGACCGAAGAGAAATAAAGAAAGCTGCATGTCTTAGCAAAACTTCACTGTTCATTTTAATCTTGTATGTCAAGTTTGTTGTATGCTTACCTTTAAATGAATGACCTTTCAGTGCCAGTGAAGTCAAATATCAAACAGGAAAGCCTTAAGTAACAAGAAAACGCCAGAAGTGAGTTGATCGGATTCAACTCTAGTTGAAATCTAGAGTAAACTTGGACTGAATAGAAATTCTCTTTGTTGCTGAAAGGCCATTTGATTTTTTTTTTGCCTTCAAATAGCTGAGTGAATATTATTAAATCTTGAACTTGGAATTGCGATTCCTTGGGACAGTCATGGCTGACCTGTATATCGAGTACCTCCTGTGGAAGGATTCTGTTGTAGCAGCCACTGTGGTGACCAGAGAGGAGGGCACAGCTGTACCCTCGAGGAGGGCAAACAGGGTGAGGTCACGGGTACCACAGAAAGTCCAATCTTATGCCCAAGGCCCTAGGTTTGGGCCCAAGCACCAAAAGCAAGTTTGCTTTGGAGTTTCAAGCTCAGAGCACCCAGGACAAGAGTGGCTGTCAGGGCTGGAGAGAGCCAAAGGTGGAGCTGAGCAGAGTCCTAAATGGGGGAGAACTTCTATGTGTGATTAATGCTGAGCAAAGGCAAATAACAAAGTAGGAGCAAGGCACAGTCCAGTGGGTGGGGCCAGATTGATTGACAGAAATAAGAGATTTAGGCAAGGGTGACTAGGAGAGAGAAAAAAGGTAGAGTTGGCTTTGGGTTGTGGAGGCAATGTTCTCTCATGCCTCTCCTTTCTCTCCTGATCTTTTTCTCTCATTATAAAAGTAGCATATTACCAGGCTTGATGGCTTGTGCCTGTTGTTCTAGGCTG